ATAGAGGAACTATCGGCTTAAAACCATATACAGTTCAGCATTGTGACAAAACTTACGAATTAGGCTCACAGAGTGCTTTTGTGGATATGCAACATAATGAAATCAGTCACAAAACAATAGACATAGATTTCTGAGTTTCATCGTTGAGACGTAGTACGTATGAATACGTTATTGTATTACTTATGAGAGTTCCATGAATTCAAACTGGCGACTATTAATGTTAACGTTAATGCATCCCGATTTAATGATATTACCGTAATTGTCACCATAAAATCTTCGGGTGAAATGCCAGCTTTGAAATTGATACTTAGTATAAAGGTTTAATATTCTGCGCACAAAGAGATTTCAGTGGATATGTGGTATAAGATTAAACCAAGTAATTGATACATATGACTACCTGCAATTATATTAACTACAATTCGCGATCAAATAACAAACATTAAATTAGCGACCTGAGCGCAATGACGAAGATGCAATCATAAAATACAATGAAAATCATCAGTATTCACAGATTGACAACGGCAATTATTTGCCTGAGGTTTCCATTGGTAGGCAATATGATGACTGAAGTCAAACAACTGATATAGATTGCCCAATGCGAATGGCATAAATTCAGATTCGTGACAGCTGACTGGGTGCTGATGATCTGACATCGCACAGTCGTCAATATGGCATTGTAAGAAGAAATTAACTACTGTTACAAAATTCACTAATATTCATTACTGGCATCTTCATTCACAGAGGGCTATCCATCGAAATATTACATGACGGGCTGAATTACGCAATTGATGCAGCTGACCACCGTCCATCTATGTAGATTCAATGTGGTGACTGCAGGAGCAAGAGCTGACATCAACCAGCGGTCTGCGTCAAGACCTTCTATTCCGTCCTCCTCCATATAGCGTTCATCATTTGAACTGCGTTCGTCTTTCATTTTCAGCAAATTATCTTTGCCTCTTCAACCAGCGTAATTTATACCACATGGAGTTACCCTCACCTTATTTACATTATTGTTAGCTAATGTGAAAAGTTCGCTAGGAGGTAGAATCGAACAGGTAAGTGCTGGACCATGGAGAGTGTCGATCATCTTTCAATATGACAGATTTGTCAGTCTATGAGATATATTTTATATGTCTTAACTGACTGCAAGACACTTTTCAAGAGCTGCAGAAGTTTGTGTTCGTGGTAGTAATACAGACACGGCGATTGCCATGTGCCGGCGATGGCGGTTGGATTGCAACTCTGACAAAATAGCATTTCAATTTTGAAATTTATACCATTGCAAGACTTCAGACAAGTTGCCTTAAATCGAAAAGCAATGGCACCTGAACAAATGAGTTCGCTATGCGTTCGCCTCATAGCTGTTCGATCTTTCGAAATGTTCGGGTTGTCTGCCGTCTGCTAGAGATAAAATGTAACTGAAAGAAACTCTTTAGGGTCATTATGTGTTGAATGAACGGAATACGAAACAACAGAAAATAAAACTGCAACCTGCATGCCGGTTGTTTCAGTCACTAAAATTCTTAAAATGCCAAATTTTCTTAAAAGTCAGAATGGCCTTCAAAAAGCAATTTTTTCAAGGCAGAAGGACAGTAAATGACTGCTCTCAAGTCATATGTTTTCTGTTATGCTCGTATGGATATATATGGAAGCGATTACGTCCTTGTTGCGCTCAGATGCGCATCGTTGAGCATCATTTTAACAAAAGCATGGAATTCGCGGTCATAACCTCTCATTTCCGGCTGCAATTTCCTGTGAGTATGCTGCAACCCACTTCCACAGATGAATAAGCGCAGTGCAGTCCTACTGACCTGACCTCAAAGCGATCACGCGTAACAGAGTGCGATTCATAAAATTCTGTCCTTTCTGAACAACCAGATCTGTCGGTCATGACTTCGCCAAGTGTAAAAAGAGAGGAACTCGTCACACAGTCGAATGCCATTGGATTAAATTAACTGGTGTGTCGTCCATGCTCCCGAGAACAACTTGTCTTCTTGTTTTTGTCATCTGCTGCGTCAATGGACAACTTGATCTAACGAAATTCCTGCCACTGGCTAACCTTCTACCCTTCAACGTACCTACCCTTCCACAGCCCAGAAGTCTTCAAGCTCTGAAAAAGCCGCAAGGTGAGATTCATGCATGTCGAAAATCCGTTATTATATCCTTTCCGTTGAAAACGAAGCGAATATAAACCGAAAGTTAAAAATTGACTTTATCGCACAGGTGAATGATGGCGCTTTGTAAAAATGCGACAGAATCTTTAGCCGTTAGTCTGAATGCTTTACTAGAATGTCTGCGCTGTCTTCTGACTACGTACATTTCCTAAATTCAATTCTCCGCGGCAAATTGTCAGTGCAAAGCACTTTAAGCTCGGCGCGAAATTATTAGTTACCGCAGTTCGACGCTGCATGAACAAGAAAACGCAGCGGTTATGCTGCACATGCCTCACTACGACCAACGCAACAGTCGTTGTCATTAACGAAATCGTGGAAAACGAAGGATCAGCCATTGGTGAGCGCTCGGTAGTACCTCGTTTGTACAGTGCTGCAAGGAATCGCCTTCTCCGACACGAACGACCAGCTCGATTACAAAGTCAATCAATCAACTTCCATGATGACTTGTCCTATCGGGTCGCGAAGGCGGATGCATCTGACAGTGCTTCCGACATTCCCGGTCCTCTGCCAGCATTTCAGCCTCGAGAGAAGATAATCTAAATCTGTCAGAGTCCTTCTAGACACTTGCTCCAGGATCTTCGGCTGGAGGCATTCGCAAGATATGCCAAAAAATTGCAAAAATGAGTTCTCAATCTGAAGAAACAGCGCCTGTACACCGAGGCTCTCATGGATGCCTGTAATCCGGGTCATGTCGAAAAGCGTAAGGTCAGCGACTCGTCTCAGAAAGCCCATTTCAGTAGCTTGTACTCGGGTTCGAAACCTTTCAATCTTCGTCCAAGGCTCATGAACGTAGGTAAGCATGGGCATAAAGATCGACTTGAACACCAAGAGCTTAGTTTTCAGACTGAGCTCTGCTTTAGTCACAACGGATCGGGCTACTTCATGCAG